GTAAATCAATTAATTATAGAGGTGGATTTATGCAATTTGTGAATCAATGAAAAATTTTTCATAAGTCAATATTATATATACATCCATCTATTTTTGATTTATAATCTTTTTATATTTTTTAACATTTAAATTATCACCTATAATGGCACTACTTAGATAGGGCAGATCTGTATAGAAAAATAAGTGCAATTGTATATTTTTACAAAGTTTACAATTAATTATTCTATCAGAAAATACTAATTTTTAAAATGGTCATTAGCTGTGCAATTCTAAATCAAATAAATTATTTATACAGTTCTGCTATAGTTTTATACACAATGTGTGATTAACATAATAAAATAATTGTATGATATACATTATAAATAAGCTATAAATATGTTTTAGATTTGTAGCATTTTTTTAAATTCATTATATTCAATATATGCAAAAATTTTAAAAGCATTTTATATAATATATATATATATAATATTATATAATATATATATATAAAATATATAAAAAAAAATATATAATATATATATAAAATATATATAAAAAAAATATATAATATATATATATAAATATTATAAAAAGAATTAATAAAAAAATTTTTTAATTTATAAAAAATTATGAAAATTATAAAAAATTATAAAAAATAGATTAATAGATATTTTAAAAAATAGAAGAAAGAAAAATGTTACATATCTAAAACTAGAACCATTCCATAATTAGAATAAGAAGTTTAATTAATAAAAATAAATTGTATGAATCAATAGATTATTTTCTGTTATTGTACTTAGGCTACAGAAGTGTATGCAATTGCAAAATTTTAGTTGATATATTAAAGAAATAATAAATAAAAAAAATTATATGTCTTTTTCTAATCCTTTTTAATCGTTATTTTTTTATCTCTTTTTATTTATATAATAAAATTATACAATTATGACATTTCTTTATTTTTAAAAATTACATTACTATTACAATAAAAATTACATTTCTATTTTTCATGGGCAATTATATTTATATATAACAAATTCAAAATTGCATTGAATCAATATATTTATATACATAATACGAACATACATTATTCTAAAATATAACATAAGATATCACATAATGTGTACTTGATCGATTTTATTTACATATTTTTTTCTACATATTATTTTTTTATTAATAATTTAAATAATGATTAAATTTACTATTTAATAATTAGCAATATGCGGTTTCAAATGATTCATAAAAATATATAATATAACATAAAAATATAATTTTATTAATATAATTTAAAATATATCGTATATTTGATATTTTTTTAGATATTTTTAAATAATTTATTATATGTTTTATTGAAATTTTAATATATCGCGTATATAGATTCTTGACTAGTTTAATCAGATGATACATAAAGTTATTGATCAAAACGGAAAGTCAAAAAGCATGCGCGTTTTTTCTTACTTATAAATGACAAGAAGATGATGTTTTACAAAGCTTTGCAAGTGTTTTTCCATTTTTTTACAATTTTATTATGTGTATCTGGTGAAACGTTAGTAAAAAAAAATGAAAAACGCACTAATTTCAGAAACAATTATCAAATGTGCCTCGACAGTTTTAAAATTCACGAAGATAAAATTATTCGAACACAGGAATCCCGAGATATGGGTGCTAAATTTTTAAAAGAATACGATGTTGATTCTAGAGAAGACTGTTTAAAGTTTTGCTGTGATACTGAAAGTTGTGATGTATTTATTTTTGAAGAAAAGGTATAAGAAATAGTTTTATAGTGAAAAAATAATAAAAATTCTTTTGTTTTAATATTTAAATTATTTATATTTTACTACTAATAAATTAAAATGTATATTATACAGAAATCTGGAAGTTGTTATCTTTTTCAATGTGGTCCATTACATGATTTTAAATGTAAATTTACCAATCATGCTAATTATAGTAGTGCAGTACGCAACTATAATTCACAATTGGAAAAGGAACAAGAACATGAATTACAATCTCTTAGGTAGGCAATAATTATTTTATTATTTATAATATTTTAATAATAGAATAATAATATTCTTTATATATAGAAAATTATCAGATCCAGTACCACTAGAATATTTCTTCACAGAATCATCCATAAAATTAATTGCAACTTTAACACCAAAGTCATCATTGACAACATCTTTACCTATTAAGCAAGGTACATAGAAATCAAAATTTTATATTTATATATAATAAGATATATAAAAAAATAAATATTATATTTTTTAGTTTGTAGTAGAAATCAATATGAATGTCGTTCATCTGGAGATTGTATAGCAATATATAATGTATGTGATGGTATACCACAATGTGCAGATGGGTCTGATGAAGCAGCAGATCTAGTATGTCCCACAGAAAAGCCAACAATTTTGCCTTCTATAATTCAAGGACCTCAATCACCTTCACCATTATTACCTGTTGATATAATAAAATATCAACAAATGATTGATCAACATAAATCTCTTCCTCCTATGTATGCTCGCATTCCAGAAGTTAATTGGAAATTGCCTAATTTATCTCACAGAATGATTCCACAACAGCCCCTTTTATATTCAGTTCAACGAATGGAAGTACCTCAAATACATAAAGGTTTTGCTGCACCAGGATATGCATGGGATTATCAATCTATGTATGATCAAAACAAAGACATTTATAATTCATTTCGTGAACAAGGAAATTCAAATCCTTATGAACGTAAGTAATGATTATTTTATGAATAAAATGGAATTATTAAAGTATTTTATTTGCAGAAGATCAATCGCATATTTTTAATCATAAAGGATCGGGTATAATAGGAGAAAAAGAGATGGACAGGTAATATATCTAATATATATCTAAATAAATAGTAATATATCTAATTAAAACTTTTAGTAATTTTTAAAAGATATTAAGAAATTATAAAAATATTAAGTGTATTTATATTTAATTTTTAATTATTTTAAATTATTTAGTGGCATCTATTCAGATATAAAACATCCATATATATCACATTTTCCATCCTCGAATAGAGGCAGATGGCAAAACAATCAAGTTTATCCATCTCCATCTTCAATATCAAATGTGCAACAGAAGCAAATATTTGAAATAGAAAAAGTGTTATTATTACAACAACACCTCCTTGTGATGTAGGTATATTTTATGATTTTAAAATTTGTCATAATAGAATCATATATAATAATATAATGCATAAAATATTATGATCTCAGACATCACATGAACAAAAAGATGTTTCGTCAAAAAATAAAGATATTAACAAAATCTATCAACAAGAAGATAAACATGTACTACATGAAAAAGAAATTAATCAAAATAATAAACAAAATGCGTTAAAAGATGAAATGCCAAAATTTAATCATATTCAAACGAAAGAGCCAAAAGGTAATTTTTTAATTAATTATTTGTACTTCAAAATTTTATTATAAATAATTGATTTACATATATATATTTTAGAACATAAAAGTATAATGGTTATAAAAGATCATAGTAAAGAACATGGGAAAAATATTTTAATAGCAGAATATTTAAAAGCAAATGAAAATGAAGTTCTAAAACCTAGGGGGGCAGTTATATCTTTGGCTTTAGGACTTACAATAATAGCTATTACAGCTACATTAATTGCTTGTCGATTGCGAGTCGTTCGAAGACGTGGAAGACGACATGGACCATATGCCTATGATGCAGATTATTTAGTAAATGGAATGTATCTTTAAGTGAGTATGAATTTTTTTTGGACGAAGGAATTTAGTGATATTTTTATATTATTTTAAATAATTATATAATAAAATAGGTTTTATTTTAACACTTTGATTTTAAAAATTTGATTTTTAAAATTGAAAATATTTTTGTTTATACTTTATACTTATGAAATCTTTTTTGCTTTTTTTGATGTGCAATATATTTTGTAAAAATAATTGTATTAAATTTATTAATATGCTGTAAAATTTCTATATATTTTGTTAAATTTATATTATATTTACAAGAAATATATTAAAATATTTCATGAAATAATAAATTTTTAATCAAATAACTTATATTTATCAAAGTTTTTTACTCTAATTTAGTATTGATTATATAATAAGTTTTGATTTTTGAAAATATTGACAATACAAGAAGAAATTAAAAATTATCAAATATAATAATTTCTGATATAAAATATTTTTAATATTTTCATAATATGAAAAAGTTTAATAATGAAAATTTAATAATGAAATTTTGTCTATGGAAATTTAAGACAATATATTTGAAAAAACAGAACTACCAACTTGTAACAAAATTATATTTATACATAACTTTTACAGCCATATAATACATAAGGTACATAATTATTCTCAATAATAAAATCAATGTTTTCAAAATTATAATAACTATCTATTCTAAAATGATTGTTATTTTATTTTTTATATTTTAATTTAATTGTTTATATCCAAAAATGTTCTCATTTGAATTTTCTTGTATTTCTAAAAAAAGAAGACATGTATATATATACACATAAATTCGATTAATCTATATTATTAGATATAATGCAAATATAAAAATTATTATATTATTATAATTTTATTATATGCGCGTCTAAAATTTTCAAATATTTTTAAATATTAAAATATTATTTGCCTTAACTAAATTCAATGTGTATAAAATATTTAAAAAAAATGGAAGAATTTAAATTACTAATATTTTTTCTTATTATATTATAACTATTTTCAATGATATTAAAATAATCAGCTAGCTAGTAGATTGAAAAAATTTGCATCTTTATTATTACATCTTAAAAAAAAATAATTCTTAAAATTCTTTTAAGAATTTAAGTTATAATTTTAAAATTAATAATTAACTTTTCAAAATATATAATTTTTATCAAACAAAATAATAATTTTTCAGTAAAAAAAACAGTCTTGTTTTATTAAAAAATCAATTATTTTTAATCTATAATTTTTAATTATAACTTATTTTTATTTATTATATTCAGGTGTATCTGAATAATAATTTTAATTAATACTTCAATTTGTATATAAAAAAAATAATATTTACTTAGATATGAATATTGTACAATTGAAAAAATATTAACAGAATAGAAATAATTTCAATTATAATATAAAAAAATAGAAGTTTGTATCATTATTGATACTGCAATGACAACAAGTGAAAATTATGATGATGTTTATAAGTGGGACTGTATGTTTGTTTAAAATGAAATAAAAATATTGTTTAATAATATTGAACATTGTATTATTGAATGCAATTACTGTCGACCAGTAGCTCCTGCATTTTTCTGTGCTTGTATAAATTCGGGATAATCAATATAACCATCATTATTTGTATCATCCAAAGACAATATTGGATCTATTAAAGTAACCAATTCCTCATCCTTAAATAATTTTGGTCCAGTATTGACTCCACCTACTTCTTTCTTCTCTTGTTCTACATATAAAGTATTTATTATATTCTCTATAAAATTAGTAATTTAATAATTAATTGATTAATACATACCATGCCAATGGATTAAAGATTTTATAAGTTCACAACCATCTAACTTATTATTATTGTCTGCATCATGCATTTTAAAATAATGAAACTGTAGTTCTTGTTCTGTCATTTTACTAGTATCTATTGGAACTTCCATGTGTTCTGCAATATGACTGCAAAATTTTTAATAATTACTAAAATTTAAATGATTAATAACAATGATTTTAAATACATATGTAACATACGCTTTTTCATGAACTATGTTAGCAGCATTGAGTATTGCTTGTCCATGTTCTTGTTGAATTGGTACCTGATGGGTTGGAATATGTTGTTGTACAGGTACTTGTTGAACAGGAACTTGTTGCATAGGTACCTGTCCTGGCATTTGCTGGAACTTTATAAATTTAATAGTATATAAATTGATACAAAAATATATCACTTTTAATATTATGTATTATATTTATTAATAATTAATATTTAAAAAATTAAAAGAAAATAAAAATTATTAAATTTTTTTTTACTATTATATGAATGTACCTGTTGTTGAGGAATTTGTTGTGGTACCTGATGTACTTGTTGAAATTGAGGCTAAAATAAATTAAATTGATTTAATAAATGAAATAATAATTTAAAAAAAGTATTTTCATGCAATTTAAAAACATTATATTTATGAACATTAAATGAATATTTGAAACTTGAATTAGAAACTTTGAATTAAGCTTCAACATAATAGTAACCATATGTTTGACTATTTGAAGAGAAAAACTTACTTGTTGATAATGTTGGGGTGATACACCTGGTGGAATTCTTTGTTGCTGAGCATATAAATATTTACAACAAAAACATCCGATTATAAAAAGGCACAATGTCCAATTCATATTGCAATATTCTACAACACAAATATACACATATGTAATTATATATTTAAAATATATAAGAAAAATAATATATATATATTATATTTGATTATACTGTATTGTATTATAAATCACAAAAATGATAATAAATTTTAAAGATTATTAAAAATACCTTGTTTATGTTATACAATGTATAAAATTGACATGTACGCAAATATCTTGCTCATTGGCAAGACCAAATACCGGATTATAAATTTTAAGGTTATGTTACAAAAGTTTTATACTGACGTGGACAGATACCACAAGTATTACTTTCCGCTATAGTTCATTCGATACATTTAAAATATAATAAAAGATATGAATAATAAATTGTCATTAATTATAGTTTACACCATTTGAAATTAAAATTATTACAAATTAAAAAGAGATCATGTGTTTTTAATATTAAATTGATAATTTTTTTATGGATTAAAATAGAATCGATGGATGAAATTCTATTTAACAATTTAAGATACTATTTAGTAGATAAAATTTTGTAGTTAAAAATTTTATGAAGAATATAATATTTAACTTCAATTAGCAGAAATTGATCAATTAATTATAATATTATTAGAAATTGTTGTTTGTTAATTAACAAAATTATTTTCAAACTTCGAAATCTATCAATCAATTTTTTCATGATGAAAGTTCATGCATTTATATATTAAAATCCATTCTATTACATATATTATTTTAAAAAAACAATGTTTAATAAAAAATATGTTTACAAGTCGTTGAATTTCTATAAATGGCTGTAAAAGTGCTTCTTATTTATATTTATTTTATATTGAATTAAATTTAAATATTAATTAGTTAAAAAAATGTAAAAAAAATTCAAATAAATTCTTATAATAATACATATTTTATTTTTATAGAGAATTTAAAAATAAATAAATAATATTTTATTTCTAATCAATGAGTTAATCCCGCCGTTGTGAGATTCGTACTTTCACAATGGCGGAAATGTATTGCTTTTCTCGATATCAAATTTGTGATGTGATTATATTATTTTAAAAAATTGTTAAATAATTTATGGCTATAGTAAAGTCGTAAAAAGAAATAATATTATTAATAAAGTGTTTATAAATAGAAAACTTTTGTTGTTTAAACAGGTATGTATCAAAATTACGCGGTTTCGTTAATTTTAGCACTAACTTTTGTGTTTTGTACAATTTCAGAATTCAGAAATTTATTGCCCGTACCTTTTAATTTGTCTCATATTATTACTTGTATTGGAATAAATAAATTAGTGCATAAAATATTGTGTGTGTTTAATAACCCATAATTTGAGATATAATTTAATATCTTCGATTTTAAATTCTTATTTCTTAAATGTTTTATTTAATTTAAAATAATTAGAAAATATATAATTTTTTCTTTTCATTACTTTACTTAAAAAAAGAAATGATATTATATGTCTGATTATAACAAATGGTCAAAAATATGTAAGATAATGTGAAATTTCATTTATTACTTTTTTAAGAGTATTTTTTTGGTATTTCTTTCATATTTTAGAAGACCAAATAAATGGAAAATGCCTCAAATATTAAAACATCGGAAAGTTAAAAAACCACAGAAGAGAGTATTAAGTAAAAGAAGGCATTTTTTAACTAATTATCATGAAACTAGATCTTACAAACCATGTAAGTTTTGAAAAATTCTTTATAGATTACATGATATCTTTGATATATAACAAAATTTAATTGTTACAGTATGTAAACAATTAAAAATGAACAATAATTCATTAGCAAAAGCATTATCTAGAGAAAAGCATGAATGTCAATTATTATTTTCTCAAAATGTTGCTTTAATTGCTGAAGTGCAAAATTTAGGTTCAGCTTGTACTAAACGTGATGTAAGTAAAGTATAAAATATTTATTTTTATGAATATGTTAAAATTAAATTTATAAAAATATATTTTTCAGGCTATTATATCAAATGTTCTAAAAAATGCTAAAGAAATGCTTAAAATGCTAGTAACAATGACTAGCTATTTAACAAACACAATTTCATCTTGTCAAGAATTTACAGATTCTGTTGCCAATGTGAGAATGTCTTTTAATTCTCCTGGAAGTAAGATCATATATTATGTCTTATATTATATTTAGAAGATTTAGAAGAAAATAAGTAAAAAAAATTGTGTATATTGTAGAAAGAGATTCAATAAAAAGACTGTCAACAAAATCTCCAACTAGAGGAGTGGTGAAACCTATGGTGAGCGGTTACACCATTACAAAACCTACCATTAATTTAAGTAGACTAAATATGCAATATATTAATAATTCATCAAACTTAAGTATAATACCAGAGGTAACAACACCACCCAGAAATCAGGAAGGAAGCAGTTTAAGGTCTCCTCCTAATGGAGTTTCTGAAAGACGTAATTGTGTAAGTATTTTGTAAAATTTAATAAAATTTAAAAAACAATTATTTAAAAGAATTATATATTATAGAAAAATGGTCGCACATACAGAATGCCTGAAAGATTAACTGTTACTTCACCAGAAGATAATGGTATACTTTTTTAATATAATTGACATTAAGATATGGATTTTTATTAGTATGTAGAAAAATTGATTTTAAGATTAAAACAAACGCTTTATTTATTTTTAGATGAAAATGGAAGATTAAGCGAAAGAAGTAATAGACATTCTGGAAGAATTTCAGGAAAGCTCTCAAAATCAAAATCAAGATTGTCAAGGAATAGCAGCTCAAGAAACAGCAGTTCGAGAAATAGTAATTCGAGGAATAACAGTTCGAGAAATAGCAATTCTCGATATAGTATTGAAAATTTTGAGCATATAGGAAGTCCTAGAGTAAAACTTAATGATGTATCGAAATTATTGCAAAATTCTCATACTATTAATATTCGTATGGTTTGTGTCATTAATAAATTTATTTTTTTTATTAAAACTTTCATATTAATTTATATTTTAATTGTTATATATATAGTTAACAGAGAATCAAAATAATCAAGAAATTAATACATCAAAACATATTTGTGATATGAATCTTGAAGATTCTCAAACACAAATTATACAAGAAATGTCTTCTTCTAATGAATCCGAACAAAATAATGATGAAAAGATTGAGAGCAAAGATGAACAGAGCAATAATGAGTTGGATACTACAGATCGAAAGGAGAAAAAAAAATTAATGAAACAAAAAACTGTACATCAAATTGGGAAGATCCTCTTGAAGGACCAAGTTGGTTATTTAACAATTCTCAAGTCGTGCCTTCTGTGACTAATAAAAATAATAAGACTGATAATATAAATATTTCTAATGAAGATATTATGAGTTTAACAGAATCGAGCGATATATTCGATGAAGAAAAAACTATGTCTATGTCGATTACACATTCAAGTCAGTTGTATAACTCTAACGACAGTAAAGAATAAATGATGAAAATGAATTTGACATGTCTCAACAGAATAAAAATAATACTTTTCGTAATGTATCGCTACTGACAGGTGCAAATGAAGATGAATATAAATCTCAAAATGCATCTACAATGAATTTACAAAATTTTGTGACACAAAGAAGAGGCTATTTTGAAAGTGAAGACGAAGATGATTTTACCTTGATTTACACGCAACGTCCATGTAATATGAATTTCGACATAAATGATTTAAAATTACCAGTTTTGGAACAGTCTACTTTAAAACCAAATATCACAGTTGAACCAGAACCAGAAATAACAACCACTCTTCGAAAAATATCCCAGATTTATCCAATTCCATCTGTTTCGCACAATACTTTAGATGAATCTGAGTTTAACGAGTCTACCGTAAAACTGCCATTACTTGTGAATGATTATGATAATAAAGAGATGACTATATTAAAAAAAAATCCAGATCTTCAAGACAAAAAAAAGTGAAAATAATTCAGACACAATGTAATGATTTTGTTGAGACACCATTATTAAATAAAAATAATTGTCAGAAGAAAAAGAAAGATAAATTTGTGAAAGATCCAAGTGCTGTTAAAGTAGTATTGCAAAAGTTGGATGAATTCGATGTTAAATCAAATGAAATATTGTCTCTCAATTCCAATCAATCTTTGTAAGTATTATGTTAAAATCAGTATGAATATGTACACGATATCCGAAACATATTATTGTAAAAAAAAACGATACGAAAAAATTTTATATATATAATAATTTTGATATATAATAATCTGACAGGATTATTTTTTTTTTTATAACTAAATGTATAAATATATACAAGTTATATTTATTTTCTTAAATACAATCAAATTTTTTTATGCAATCAATTAATATAATTCAATATTCCTTTTAAAAAAATTTTAATTATATAGAACTTGACGTATAATAAAATACACGGAATGAACAAAAGTTGCATCTTTTTAACTATTTTTTTATATAATAAATATTTTACGAATTATTTGCAATAATATTAAATTCGGATATTTTGTATATATTTATGTACAATTTAAATACTTATATGTGCAGAAATTCTGTACCTTCTCGCTCTAATTCAAGTGACTCGGAAAGTAATTTGAGTGTCAGTAGCTCTTATAGTCGTCCTAGGAGAAAACGTGTTCCAATCAATTTTCATGAACCTAGTTTGAAAAAGTGAGTAATATATTTTATCTTCACTGGAGATTGAACATGAAGAATTTTGTACATTTTATTACATTATTTTAAATAATTACTTTTTATTTCAGAAAATTACGAAGGAATCAATAATTATACTATGATATTTTTCCATACTCGAGGAATGATTGATAAAACACAATAATGTGTTTTTAAAGTACATCGACGTTCCCTTTCATGTAAATAAGTTATTGGTGCATATAATAAATATTATTAAACAAAAATTTCCAAAAAATAGAGAAATTGATTTTACTAAATATTTATAAGTGTAAAACAAATTAATACTTAGAACCATTTTGCTTCCATTGTTGCGCACAGTTTTGTTGTACACAGCTATTGTTAATTATTCACATAAAATCGGCTTGCTTTGACGTAGTCATAGCCTCGATGATTTTGACTTCCTCTTGTAGTATTGTTCGTATATTGTACTTTTTGTATACTTAACTATGTTTTAATGAGTAAATAAATATTTAAAAATATGAACTTCATATTTATTCCATTAATTTACATTCGAAAACAAACAACGAAAATATTGTTTTATTCTTAATGTTCGATCGTGAAATAATGATTATTGTAAAATCAAAATTTTGTTAATTTTTTGCACAAAAATCGTAACATGACACCATTTTTAATTTTAAGTAATATTTACTTACTAGAATAAAGATTTAAATTATATGACATTTTGTAAATTTTATTCTTGAAAAATATATAATAAATACATAAATATAAAATGTGATATGTTAAATATATTACATGGCAACATTATATGATATATGTATCTTTATAAACGCATAATTGTCAAGGATCAATGATTAAAATAATGAGTATTACAACTGAAATTGAAACTACAAATTTTAAGGTTATCGAGGAATTCTTCAATCTAAATTTTAACACAATTTAAAAACAATCGATTTATTGACAATGTTCAGAAAGGTCACATGGATGGATAAATAAAAAAGCTAGAACAAATATGGAGCAAGAAATGCTACGTATATAATGAATTTAACTTTTCCTAGCCTACATAGTTATAGAAAATCTGGTATAGAGGTGGAAATTAATTATGCTTGTTTAATTTCAAGATAAAAGAACTTTATTATTTCGATCCGATTTGTGATTTTACATACCAGATTTAATGATATCTTTATAAAGTAATTTTAACTTATTATTATTCCTTTCTTTCTACTTTGTTTATGTCTTTATATAATATCTTTTAATTTTGTTCTTTCAAAATATATTCCTTCTTAAAATTTTATATTATTATTTTGACCAGTTCTAAAATCTGGTCTAATAGTTGATATGTGATAGTTATAAATAAAATTCTACCACATCAAGAGCTACAACAATTCACCGTGACGTAATTGCCACAAACTTAATTGAACCGCTACCTGGTAGCAATCGTAAGGCGTGGGTGTACGCACGCGGAACTTTTTGTGTTACTTAAAATCTAAACTCGACGTTTAATTTGCATAGCTTATGTAATAATTTGTTATAAAGCTATTTTCATATTCACATGTTTGTAATATGTTTGTGTAAAATGCTAAGAAAAAAACAAAAAAATAATTATCTTAAAATTTTCATACGATAAATCTTAAATGTAACATTGTTTTATATATTAAATATAACGTTATTTTAATTTTTTCCTCAAAATAAAATATAAAAAAACAATAGATATATAAATCCATTAATTATTAATATTTTTTGCGTTTTAGTTAATTTTTAATTTTTCATTCAAGAATTCATTCAGACAATTTTCTCGTATATTTTCATAAACAAGTGATCAGGAAAAATTTAAAATAATAAAAAAAAAAACTAATAGGTTAAAATAATATTTTTTGAATAAATTATTCAGATTGAATAAAATATATCCAATATAACATATATTATACAATCATCTAATTTGTGATTCTCTTTGAAAAAATAAATTCGATAGTTGAATACTTAAGAAAACATTGATCTTGAATTGTAGTATTCCAATGAATTATTATTAATTAAGATTGCAGAACATTTCGCTCAATTATAAGCATTATGTGGTAAATGCGAGATAGCGTGAAACAATCATAATTAGTGTATTGACTTGTAGTTCGCTTGATATAAGTTTATGCAATGGATAGTTAGCATTAAAGCGTTCATCCATGCAAATATAATTACGTACGTACAGTTACTATATCAAAATACAAAACAGCAAGGTTACTAATTTTTTTATAATCTTTTTGTTTTCGTTTTATATATATAAATATTTATTATTTAAAAAATAAGGAGGCATTAAATTTGTAAATAGCGATTGGACATTTTCAAAGGCGAAACATAAAACAAGCAGATCTCGTAACGTGCACTACACTACAGAACGTGAAAAACACCCACTCGCGTAGGAGTGGAAGTGTTAGGAAACTTAAAAAAAAATATATATAGACGAGCATAACATTGAAAGATTTAAAATGCATATTGAATTTTCTCTCGTGGAATTATAACTGCAATATTTTTCTTGTTCAATAACATCTCACATTGTTTATGCATCGTAGGGTGCATAGTATTATCGAGTCTCGAAAATAAAGCAAATTTTTAGCGAGTAAAAGTTGTGTCTTTGACGCGCGTACCGGCGTTCAAACTCTCCCTCCTCGAGAATAACAAGGTGGATTTGCGCATGCGTTGGCCATTTCCTAGTAGCGCCGATTGTCTGGCCAATAGTAAACGACAGATGACGTTAGCTACAGCCAATCATCATTCGTTTCAGTGACGACTGAGCTATTTTTAGTGGACATGAGTCACGGGATATAAGGCTGTACGTTTAGTTGGGTGTTCACAAGTTGTCGAGACATCGTGCTGTGCAGCCGAGTGACATCCGCATTCGGTGTACATTGCAGTCTGTTCTAGAGGTGCACACGCGCAGAACATCACGTTCATCGGATTGCGTGTCGTGAGTCATTGTTGTGTTGACAGTTGATCCAGATCGGTCCTCGTGTCGCCGTCGGCCTCTGAAATCGAAACGGACAGACACGACTTGCATCTATGCGCGACGCGTTTGCGAACCGCATAGTCAGTGAACGAAATACACATCTTTTGCATCTCAACTTCGACTTACGTCGATAAAATACATGTGGCGAATACTAAAAACGTAGTAGCTAGTTTATGAATCGTATCCAGAGTGCGGATCGAACAATATTTGGTGACGACCGACCGTGTAGCGAGTGCGACAAAAAAAAAGCTGTAATAGCGTCGATGAATTTCTTGAACGCAGCCGTCGCATGGTTATGTAACAAAGAGTGAAAAAAAAAAAGAAAAACTAGATACACGAGAGTGCTCGGGTGAAAAACGCGGACGTATAGTGAATACAAGAGACGAATACAGATACGAGTAAAGAGACGATCGATCATCGAACGTGACCGATCGCGCTTTTCCAGTGGCGGTGAGTGTGTGCGCGTGTGTTGAGCGACGAAGTTAGCGATACATAGTGTCCCAGTCGCGCACGGCTCGTTTTCAGAGCTGTAAACTTTCAATCGTCACGCAGTGAGTCCCGCGGCATCGATGGTGCGAAGTTCGACAATGGAGCAAACGTTCTACGAGGACACGAGCGTCTACGGCGCCGTGAATCGCGAGAACAACATGGGTCAATTGAAGCGTAATCTTACGCTAGATCTGAACGAATGTCAGAGACAAGGACCTGAAGCGAAAAAGCCGCGATTAGGACCTATACCACCAGCGTTAAACAACGTTACTCCAATTTTGAGCTCACCAGATTTGAACATGTTGAAACTGAGTTCTCCAGAATTGGAGAAGTTCATTATCGCCCAACAAGATAGTCTTGTAACGAATTTAGTGACGCCTACGCAGATCTTGTTTCCGAAAGCAGTCACCGAGGCGCAAGAGTTATACGCTCGAGGTTTTGTCGACGCTTTGAACGAGCTACACCATTCGGATAGTTCACAAGAACCTGGCAGTATTCATGGAGCTACATATACAACTTTGGAGCCGCCGAACAGTGTACAAAGTACAGAATCGTCAGTGAGTCAGGGTGTAATGCAGATCAAGGATGAACCCCAAACGGTACCAAGCGTATCGAGTTCACCTCCGATGTCTCCCATCGACATGGAGAATCAGGAAAGGATCAAGTTAGAGAGGAAACGTCAAAGGAATCGCGTGGCGGCATCCAAATGTCGCAGGCGTAAGCTTGAACGTATTTCCAGGCTGGAAGATAAAGTTAAATTGCTGAAGGGCGAGAACAGCGAATTAAGCGCTGTGGTGCATAGGTTGAAAGAGCACGTGTGCCGGCTAAAGGAGCAGGTGATGGACCACGTGCATTCTGGTTGTCAGATCATGGCAGTTTCGGGTCAGTTCTGAGCCGACGGCATCGGGCGGGACTCTCCGACGTATATTGTTTCGTCTGATGGTGTCTGTAGTCGCTTTTACAAATGCGACGATATTGTATTCTGTTACCGAAACGAGAAGCTTTTACCATGGAATATCGATGTCGTTGTCGTTTGGATTACGTCGTTTTCGATTTCTCGTTTGTTTCGTTGTTTTCGGGAAAAGAGGACACGGTGATGATCGTGCTTAACGATGTAAAAGAAGAAGAAGAAGAAGAAAAAGAAGAGGAAGAAGAAGAAGAAGAAGAAGAAGAAGGGAGTGCCTTGATGTACCGGATGACGTAAAATAGAAAGAGAGACGCTTTTTTTTTTATTTTAAAAAAAAAAACAAGAAGATAATCATCCGTATACTCGCGTGTCTCTTTGTGTGTGTCTGCTTTTTATGCATACGTGAAACGCGTTGCGTGACGATTATAGAAAGACTGTAGAGAAAGTGGGAACCGTGGTGGAAAAGGAAGGGGAAAGAAAAAGAGATAGAGAGAAATAGCGTCGAGTATATATTACGAGAAGTGAAGTGAGGAATAAAGAGGGGAGGAAAAGGATAGAGTAAAAGGAGAGTGGGTGGGACTTGGCAGCGCGGCCATTTTGGAGAACCTCGAATACTGGCGGGAGATTCAAATCTTCCAGCTGTTTTTTTTTTAGAAATTCTTTAATTGTATTATATTTTCGTCGGAGGAGGAAATCAATTAAATTGATAATCGATCAAAAAATCTTTGGATTCTCGTTTGTTGCTTTTTCATGCTTGATTATCGTATTTTATGTTCTTTTTAACGTTGTTCTTTTTAGAGTTTTCTCTTTATTAAAAGATTTTTTTTTACAATTATTTGGGTTTTTATCTATCTATTTCTATCAATTCTTTTCTTCTATTTTGTAAAAAGTATGTATATATTATTATATAATAAGCAAGAATTTATGAAATCTTCCGAAGAAATAATCTTTGAAAAGTTTTTTTTTCGATTTATCTCAAGAATTTAAGAAAGATCTTCACGCGATCTAGAAGAATTTCGTGGCAATTTTTGCAATCGTAAATTATCGTTTCACAATAATAAATTCGCAAATTGAATATTAATTATTATTTATCAATCCTTCGACGCAGAATAATTCTTTAATTTTTCCTCG